TCTGGTCACGCCTGTTGCTATACGAACTTGAACCATCTCGAGCATCATTTGCTCTGTGCTTCAAGTCGCTGCTGATGACGCTGCTTCCGGCATCAGTTTTTGGTGTCTCTCTTCGTCTGATGCCTACCCTTTGACCTGTCCAGCAAGGGAGGCCCTGCCAGTAGCTACGCTACCGCTGGTATAGCTCTCAGGGTCCTTGGCATACTCAAACCCCTTCACCACGATAAGGTGGAGACACCATCGAGGGGGCCTATGATGATATGGTCCAAGAATTCATCACCCTCTCAGTGGTAGCGTTCTAAAAAGGACAGAGCAGCAGCACCCAAGCATTTTTGCTTGTGTTCATCTGTGAGCATTTTTCTGTATTGGAGTTGAGCTGTGACAGTCTCGTAGATGGCATATTACAAAACATATGGGAAAACTTCATGACGCTCATCAGTAGTGAGTCTCCTGTTTTCACAAACGTGAGCATCAACCCTGTCTTTCAGATCCTTGGTGATGACAGACAGGCGTCGAGATCGTGCTGCATTGTTCACATCTGTCCTTCCCCCATTGAACAGAGGACACCACTTACGCACATTCCTCTTGTTCATGACACCTTCCCCATACACTTTGACAAGTTGGCAGTGGATATTGGCAGGGCTTATCAAATTCAAAAATCAAATCACCAAACGCACCTCGCAGTTGGCATGATTGGTGATTGAAATGGTTCTCTCTAAAGCACTGTGACACAGCAACCAATTCACTCAATGGCTTGGCAAATACTGGGGACATGGCAGAGGGTCTAACGACAGCTCTTGACCTTCAAAAACCTCTGGTCAGTGACCTGCAGTAACAGGGTGCACAATGGGTTCTTACTTTAAAAATGACCCTCGTATGTACTGCAGGATGTGTATTTTTTGTCACTGTGTGACATTGGTTTTACTATGGGTATGTGCATGTGCACACGCCCACACACACATCCATTTTTTACCTTTTCTGAAATAATTATGCTTAATGTATTTCAGAGCTATCCTGGAAAATTCATGTTATCCTACCTTCCACGCACAAGATTTCGTCATGAATATATTACTGTAACACCAGAAGGCTTCCGTTTCCGACAACGAGTGTTTGATTCTCTTGGCTCACTGTTCCGATGGTTCAAGGACAATTTCCGTGAACCCATCCCCGGAACTCCTAGCACACCAAGAGGAGCAGCAACCAATAGGACACCATATAATGGAACACCAAATGTCAACCTCGCTGGTACGTTTATGTTTTATGTAACAGAAAAGATAATGTCCTTCTGTGAGGTGCAATGTAGTCTGCCCTTGAGCACTCAGAGGGCATATGCTCCAGTGGCCAGCCTTGAAATTAAATTATTTGCATTCCAGATTTGGTCTTTCTAGATTCCCGTATATGGTCATATAGTGCAGGAAGTGTCATGAGATATAACAGTGAATTATATGCAGCACAGCCTCAGTATAACATGAGTTTATAAAATTAATAAAAATGCATATTGTAACAAGTACTCATAATATCTGAAAGTTGCTGAAATGCTACCTAATCTTGAAGCCCAACCTTTAATTGTGTATGTTACCATATGGCACTAAAGGTTTAGAAATATAATGTAGGCACTGCAATATTTAACCTCTTTCTTATATCCATCACAACACAACTAATATCAAGATCAGACCATTTTTGGCCCTGCTACATGTTTCAGCTATTGATAGCCATCATCAGGCAAACACATGATTTACACACATATACACACCACTGAACCACAGCACCGACAAAATTTGATACAATATTATTAAAATATATAAAAACACTTGATGTAAAAAATACAATAAATCAAGTTATATAAAACAGAAGTATGATATAAAATTAAGAATAAAATTCTTTTGGCGTTTTTACAGAAACGTGTCAGTCGTTGGTTTGTGATTTGATTTTGTTTCATTCTCACGGACAAGTTGGAATATTCATACTTATGCATGTATAAAATTGTGTATGAGGCTCGTAATGTAGATGTAGTAAAGTAAATTATAATATTAGTCAGTGCCTCATCTCGCAAAGTATTGTCCGTACTGTAGGGAATGTAAACAACGACTCTACTGCATGAAATGAAAACTGCAATATTTATTCTTTTTGGCAGAGTTTGCAACAAAAACTTGTGAAAATTCCTGTATTAGCTTTGCCATTTTTGTCTGTATGCATGTAACTCATTGAAAACCCCTAAATGGATTTTCATGAAATATTGTATCGGGAGTTTTCAGCATGTTTTAATTTCACTTAAAATTTGGCAGTGATAAAGGATATTATCAAAAGGAATTGTGTACATCTCAAGCAGAAATCACACTAACTTGCTAAATATCAAAACAGAAATGGGCTTAAATGAAGATTAGAGATAAACTTGAAACCCACATTTCATGCCCAGTACACTTCTGTAAGTTATGCTGTTTTCAAAATGATGAAATGGTGGTTTTTGTGCTTTCTACATGCATCAACAGAACAGACATGCTGGAATTATTACAATTTGTGAATATTTTCAAAGTTTCTCACAGCAATGTCTATGAAGAGTTCGGTCTTTTTTGGTGTAACACTGTAGTTTGGTTATAGTCAATTCAAATTTTAAAGGAACGTAAGCTCTGCTTGCTGCCTCCTTCATGGAGGTTTCTTGCTTGGCTTACTCTTTGACCCTGAAGGACACATTGTGTTTCTCCAGTGCATTGGCTGACTTTTACTGGACTACACAATATTATTTCTGAAAGGTAGAACTCATAGTTTCTTAAGTAGCATGAAGAGTATATATATTGACATGACAGAAATGAAGAACAATTCAACAGTCCTGATACCCTTCATATTATCGGAATAAAATAGTTTACTTCCTCATCCTTATATAATCTCTCTTACCTGTGTCAGTTGTCAGTTTTTTTTTGGCTGTGAAACTAACCTGCAGTTACTGTTCATGGAGGCCGTGCCATAGCTCAAGCGGTTAGTCGCTGGCTTCCCACTGTGGCGGCCCAGGTTTGATCCCAGGTCTGGTCAAGTGAGGTTTGTGGTGGACACAGTGGCGCTGGGGCAGGTTTTCTCCGACTACTTCGGTTTCCCCTGCCAATCTTCATTTCACCAGTTGCTCCACAATCACCCTCACCTATCGTATCTTCTGGTGCTGGTACAATAGGCCAGAAGTGGCCACAGTACAAGGGACTTAGTCCCATGCCACTAGCAATAAAAAAAAATACTATTCATGGAAAAATGTGTCATTGGTTAGGAATTGCTTTTTGCTATGGAAGTGCTGGAAGAAATGTCTTTGCTTTATATTAGATGTTTCCACATGTGTAACATTAACATTTGTACATGCCAGTGGTTTTCTTTTCTAATTATAATGAAGCTTTAGTACTGTACTGTGCAGAAGTAGATTGAATGTTAAATGTATATTTGTTATCTTTCAGGAATGAATCCAGAAGCAATTCAGCGTGTTGCCCAAGCTTTGCCAAACCACATGCTTCACAGTCTGTCACAAGTGGCAAGCCAAACACCTCATTATCCCCACACACCTGGTGGTGGAGGCTATGGGGCTAATATGCACACCTATCCCAACACTGTAAGTACCTACTGTATCCTCAGTCAATGAATGGTACTGTTTTGGCAGTAGCCCTTGCTGTGCCGTAATAATTACATGTGTGATGCAGATTACAAAGAACATTACTAACAGGTTTGTATGTTGGTAATGCTGTATTGAGAAGTATCTAGTTCATCCCTCAGTAGTGTTACTGGCTATTCTGAATAATACGTGTTACGATCTTTCCCAGTTTCAAATGAATGCCAGGATGCTGTATTAAAATAGACAGTGACCTCTGCAGTTGAAATAGTATCATAAAATAACTGAAAAGAGCCAGTGAAGAAACTTGTTGGATACACCTGATTGTAAGACCAAGAAAGAGATAGCAGGATATTAAAATGGATTGTGTGGAAACAGGTTATGAGGATATGAATTGAAGTGCCTGAGGATCATGACAATAGGTGGTGTTCATCCTTTATCTAACATTTATTTATTGGTTGATTCTGATCTTAGGGTGATGTGGGGGAATACAGATGTGCATACAAAATGGTGCTTGGAGAGTACTGGTGGACCAAACTGTAGATGAGAGAGTAATATTAAAATGGAGATCTGAGAAATACAGTGTTCCTCAGACTACTAAATTACCAGACTTTCTTATCACTGACCTGTCATTCATTGTATGGGGGAGGGGGCTTTATTAGAATACACATTGTCTACTAGGCTTACCAGCAGATAAAAGTCACATGCCAAAACATGGGGCTTGCCAGTCTGTCTTCAGCCACATCATTTAACCCTTAACGTGCCAGCGGGCCACTCTAGCGGCCGTCCCTTAACTGCCAGGCCATTTAAATTCGTTTCAGATACTATTACATGCTTATTTATAATAAATTCTACTCATCCCATTTTTGCAGTCAGATAACTGGAAAAATTCCTGGTTGTTGCATGATGAATGTATATTCTTGTGCAGGAACAATTTTATTTCTATCACAGCACATTATGAAGATAAAAAATATTTTTCGTACTTTTGTTAGAAAAAAAAACGAAACTTTGACTTTCAAGGATAATATCAACATCAGATATTTGAAAAAGTAATTACCTGTTGTTGTTTTCTGATAGCTCCATTCATTTTATATATGAGGTTAAAATTTGAAAACTGTACACCAAATAGTTTATTCATCATATCAATATTTGTAAAACACTGCAGTTCTCGTTCTCACTGACTGTGCACAAGTGAAAAAACATAAGTGGACTATGTACCACCGGTACATTTATGTTCAGGGATGTGGTGGAAAACAGATAAAAATATTGATTTTGGGTCATAGGTGCGGATGGGATATACTTTGATCCTTGCGTTTCTGTATAACAAAAATGGAGTTGGGCCTGAATATTACTCTCCTCAGCAACCTCCCCGTGAATGATTTCAACTGTGCCACCAAGGTCACTGTCACTTGTTTCACTGATGCGCTCAGGTGAACTGCGTCTCGTTTCGGCGGAGTTGATGTAGAAATTTCACTCCCGCTGCTGTTTGAAGAGATATTTTCATTGTCAGACAACTCAAAATCACTAACAACATCTTCTTCCATCAAACCGTGAATGTCAGCACCCTTCATTTATCTCCTAGCCATGGTAAAACACAAAAAAACTGGCACAATTGAAGCAGAATTTGAAACCAGGCAGACACAAAGGCCCTCACTGCACGTGTTCTTGGCTTGAAGGTCACGAGACTGGAACAGAATATAAGCTGAAGACCTATTCTACCAGCTGAAGTGAATTCAAGTGCCATCTATAGGCGAATAGGTAGAAATACAATGAAATCAAACCGACTTCGGAAGCCCATAGTGTCATCCGTTGCGATATTATTCACAGAGGGTATATTCTTAATGCAATCGATATAAAACCAGAGATTCGTAGACTTCAAACATCGATCTACACAGTGGTATATAATAGCGCGACATTTGAAACCACAGAAAGAAATTACAGGCGTTTAGAAACTGGTAGACAGCAGGGCCACCAGAGCGGCCCGCTGGCATTCTTCGCTTGTACTAGCTGGGCCGCTAGAGTGGCCCGCTGGCACTAATAAGGGTTAAAAAAAATAATGTAATAATTAGCAGTGTGTGCTATAGCCCCACCCTGCATAGTTTTTTGCACCTTCATAATTCTGTCAACAAAGGGCCTGAGAATGTCACAGTCTGCTCTGGTTCAGTAGTCCATTCATAAAGAAATGAAAGGGTTATACTATTTGTGTAGCAGTAATAGCACACCACATGCTGATCTGATCATGAAGGGGTACTTCAGAAGCCTGTCTCAGATTAATATATCTGCCATACCTATTCTGAGGATTGATATACTTACTCAGATTGGTAGAAAAATTAAGTTTTCCATGAAGAAAACTACCATGCACTGCTCACAAAATCCAGTTACTAAAATGTGTTCTTGTAATTACTTTCTTCAACTATTTTAACCTTTCTAATTTTATGTGCTAGTAGACATAACTTTTTATTCATATTAGAGATTTGTGAGGTGAATTTTCTGATCTGGTCCAATATTTATCAGATACATCTTTGTCTAGTGTGGTTTTTGTCTGAGGAACTCACTTTGTTCACCAATTCGATAATCATTTATGAAACTGAAATCTGAACACCATAATACTTATGGCAGAACCTTCTTTTATGCAATGCATCCTGTTTATTTCTCACATAAGGATTGTATAGAAACATTCAGTGTTTTGTTGTACATTTCACTGTCTCCATTCAATACTGTAACAAGAGCATGGAATAAACTTTTGAATGATATACAAGAACAGAAATATGAGAATTGATACGTATTATTAGTAAGTCATTTATATGTGCATTAATAGCCATGCAAAGTAGACAGTAACAGACATTGCATAGTAATGCAGTCGATGGTCTCTCCTTCCTTTTGTCATGTAAAGTACTTTCAGCTACTGCTTTCAGGTTTATCTCATAGTAAGGAAAATTTGATTTTGTCATTCAAGGAAGACTTATGCAATTGTGAACTGAATTCGGTGGACACAGCATAGGTGCCATGTATTTCATCAGCATAAGCTCAGATGCAGAGATTTGTGAACATGATATTGAAGTTGTGAGTTCTGTATGGGCATGTGATTTCTTGACTGGCTTATTAACTATTGGCCTCTCATGAATGGCTCTGTATCATGGAATTATGAGGGAGGTACAGTAAATAGGTCACAAATGGAAGTAAAGTAGCTGTAATGGAAATAATAGGTTTTCTACGTATATCACTAGGTAGCGGCACAGTCCAGCTTCATGACAGTCTAGGTAGCAGACACACATGCAAATGTTTTAATAGTCAAAATGGCGATCATGCTTGATGGTGTACTACCAAAGAGCAGGGCTCTGTTGTGTGTTTTTTGTGGGCTGAAGGACTCGGTGCAAAGGATATTCAAGAAGAGATATAAAGCAGTTCACATCTGTGTTGAGGAATTCTCTCAAGGACGTTCGAAAGTCACATGATGCCCAACCAGGTTGCCTTGTGACGGATGTAACTGTGCAGTAGGTGGAAGAGTTGATTTGAGCTGAAAGGAGGATAATGATAGACAGTGTAGCAACTACACTAGGGTGTGCCCATATTTTAGCATACAGCGTAATGCAAGACCGTTTGAAGTTTTGGAAAGAGTGTCCAGAGAAATGAGGGATCAAGAAAAAAAAATGACCTGAATGGGTCTGTCCTTGCAATATCTCTTATGGAATGCAGATGAAAGAGAAGATATGCTTAACAGGATTGATACTGAGGACAAATCGTAGGTGCATGACTTCCAACCCAAATTAAAGTGTGCTTGAGTGCAACAGAAACATGCCAGTTCACTTTCCACCAGAAAGCTTAAGGTTATGCCTTCTCAGCTGGAAAGGTTATGCTTAGCATGTTTTCAGATTCTCGGGGGGAATTGTTAGCCCATTTTCAGAAGTGTAGTAAAAATGTGAATTCTGCATTATACTGTGAAGACCTGAAGCTTCAGGATGCAATTTGCAGAAAACATCCAGAGCAACTGTCAAGATGAGTACTGCTTCATCATGACAATGCCAAACCCCATACAGCCCAAGTAACTGAGGAGAGAATTCAAGAACTACAGTGGGAACTTCTGGAATATCTTACAGCCTGGACTTGGCGCCTAATGACTTACCTCTCTGTGGTCTGCTAAAAAGCCACCTTGGTGGCAAACAGTTTGCTGATGACGAGGTTGAAACGGAGGTGCAATAGTGGCTGACACAAAGAGTCAAAAGATTTCTGTGCTTCTGGTTTCAATGTACTGATATGACAATGGGACAAGTGTATCAATGTTGATGGAGGATAAGTTGAGAACTGAATGTTTTTTCCAGTTTTGAATATCACATGTTTTACATTTTATATTTGTTTGTGACCTATTTACTGACAATCCCTCATAGTTGTCATTCTGATCTCCAGTTTGTTAGTATGTCTTATTTTTTAATATGCCTGCTATTTCCAGCCATATACACCTTCAGGACAGACGCCGTTCATGACTCCGTATCATACCCCACATGCTACTCAGACTCCGCGGTATGGTCAGCAGACACCGTCTCATCATCCAGCTCATCATGCCCAAGGATTTCTGCATCCTGGTTCTCTAACACCTTCACATAGGACACCCACTCACAGAGTTGTACATGCTCCCCACACTTCACATTCAAGGTATATATGAACAAGTTATGTAATAATTGTGCTTATTCTGCAGAAGATTCTTGTAGATTATATTATTTTTGCTGTGACAGTTTTCTAGTCCTTCAAGGTGCAGCCAAACAAATATTGTTAAAGATGAAATGTATGCTTTCTGAATTGTTTCATTTTGGTCCGTTACACTATCAATCACTAATTGTCAATAGATTTTCCGTCAAGTGCAACAGTATATATTTTTGAATTTTTGAATGAGATAATTAAGTGATCAAAATATACATTGTTGCACTTGACGGAAAATCTATTGACAATTAGTGTATGCTTTCCTTTAACTCTCCCTAAATTCGATACATGTGGGACGACACCACACTCATATCTCTTCATCTCATATACTCATAATCTGTGGGAAACAGTGTATGGGGAGCATATATTACCATACTTCACAGATGAGATTGTTGATCAGTGGATGCTGATGTTTAGTGTGTCTGCATATGTATGTGTGCTCGCACGCATGCCTGCATGTGTGCATTTTTCATATGATATGTGCCACAAGTATTGAACCATTTTGAGGTTTATTTAACTTCACTTTCAGCAAAATGGAATGCTGCTGAAAATATTACTCTGGAAGTGACCACAAATGGCTTCTTCCTAAATAATCTGTATAGTTTATTTAAATTTGTATCACCAGATAGATTATTTCAAACAGTGTCTGCTTGTAATAATGATTTTCATATGCTGGGAATGAAAGAATATGATCTGTCAATTCTTTGGTATCAGTAGACAAAAGTTTTTTCTTTTTCATTCTCCGATTTTTTCTTTCTTTAGTACATTTTCCTCATTCGTCGTCCTCAGTGGTTCCAGCATTATTTAAGTCTCTTCTGTATTACAGAATACATACGTTTTGGCATTTTTTCCCTGAACTAGCCAAAAGAATTGCTGACATATTTAATTCTTTTATCACATCTCTGTACTTGTTAAAAAGTATATTCCTGTCATCTTTGGTTATTTTGCCTTTACATTTTTTGTTGCATTCTTGTTTTAATGGCTGCAGTACTTTTTGCATTCACCATTTCACTTTTTCCCATGTAGTATCATCCAGAGTTAATTTTTTGTTTCTTCCTTAATCATCACCTCTGCAATTCAGCTCTCATTTAAAGCCAGTTTTGCTGTCCCTTAAACATATTTTCCCACATTTCCATTCTCTTGAAGTTTTCTCTTCATCTATACATTTCAGAGTTTGTGATGCATTGCTTTTCCTCTTTCCTTTTATAATTTTATTTGTTCTTGAAGGCGTTGATGTTTTGTGTATTCATATTCTGATCAAATATTAAATTTGAGGTTGAGATCGGTATTTCACCAAGTGACCGTAAGTTCTTGAGGTACTGAGTGAGTTTCATTTGCATCCAAAGGAGAAAATAAAAAAAGAACATGAGTTGAGAAAGGAATAATAGTTAACTTGACAACTGTGCTGAAATGTGAAATTTGAAGGAGTGTCTTTAATAAATTTGGTGTGAATTGTCTGAGACAAAAATATTAAGAAATTGTTTAAAAATATTATCTGTGGAAAAATTTCAAGTCGTCTCTTATTTATTCACAAATAAACATGTGATATGCATGACAGAGTCTTACAGTATTCTTCAGAAAATTTAAAATATTTCACCTGATATTTGGGCTAATTGCCAGTGAAAATTCATACATCAAGTGGTACATTTTCTGAAAATGTTTGAAAACATCTGCTGTAGATGACCATTTTGTATCACAGCAACAAACCATTCATTTGGTAACAAAATATATAAATGGAATCCATTATCGCTAACAGGACAAAGCAGCAAGGTTTGGCACTCCACACAGCCAGCATACACATGAAGTCTAAGAATTTAAATTTATTTACGTTCCATAAATCCAAGTGCTGGTCGACATCATAGAATATGGAACAAGTCAAGTACAAATACATGATATCTGTACAATAATAGTTTTGCTTGGAAAGTTAATAAGATTAGAATACAGTCTTAATATTACCATGCTGATTGGATACAGGCAGCACAGTCTGCAAATAAGCAAAATGTTACAGTAACAGTAACGTCTCTACATCATCAGAGCACCTGACTTAGATTCTTTTGTCGGTAGATAGTACACCACCTTCTTGTACCAGAACGTGAGGAATAATTCATTATTGGCAAATTTTTTGCTTATACTGGTTTGCCTATCTACCATAGAAATGTTCAGCTTTCTTAATTTTACCTCAACCACCATCGGAGCAATGGTATTAGTGACTTGAAACTTGGGCCGCGCCAAAGCTCAAGCGGTTAGTCGCTGGCTTCCCACTGCAGCGGCCTGGGTTCGATCTCGAGTCTGGTCAAGTGGGATTTGTGGTAGACAAAGGGGTGCTGGGGTGGGTTTTCTCCGAGTACTTCAGTTTCCCCTGCCAATCTTCATTCCACCAATTGCTCCACAATCACCCTCACCTATCATCTGGGGCTGGTACAATAGGCCAGAAGTGGCCACAGTACCAAGTGGACTCAGTCCCACCCCACCAAGTACTACAAAAAAAACCTGAAACTTATGGCAAGATTTTTATCTATACACCTTCGGTTACTTCATGTGTAGACCTGCCCAAGGAACTACAGTCAATGAACCTATGGANAAACAAAAATATTTAAGCTACAGCCACCTGCTCACGCTGGTTCCTCACTTGCGGATTTTTATACAGCTACCTGCTCATGCTGGTTCCTCGCTCTCAGATTTTTATTCCCTGAAGATGGAGGCGATACGTTCCTCCGAAACGTTGGTTTATACAATATCTACATGGTGTCACATCCCAGAAGATGACATTCTTAAAAAATATTTAACATCTGTATCGTGTTTTAAAATGTAGAACTGGAGGTTTAACTGTTTGAGCATATAGTTATATAAAAATATGCTGATTTCAAAATTGAAACAAAAATGTTATCGATCTGTAGTTATAAAACTCATGTTCCATTTTGTAGGGCATTCATTTTATTCCACCTTATGCTCAAGGGACATTAAATTGCTGATTCATCTTTACCATACATTTTGTGCACAACTTGCACTGTGTTTAGCAGAATCTAACGGTTCAACTCGACCTATTCAAAAGTCTGCTCTTAGACACAATTCTGGGCCTGTTTCATTTATATCTGATTATCTCAATATTTCTCTCTGATATCCAATTTAATGTTGTCCTGCCCACTCTTCAGTCTTTCCCAAGAGTACCCACATGCCCAGCTGATCATAGCCTCTTAAATTTCACACATAATAATGCTAGACAGTGGTATGAATCACAAAATTTGCTATTATATTCATATAACATTCTGGACTGCACACTTCACCTATCTTAAGTCCACTTTCTGAGCCCTTGTAATTTATGTTCTTCCCTTAAATAAAAGACCGTGTTTCCCAGAGGAATATTCATTGCAGATTTCTATACTGGTTTGTGTCCATATTTTAGTCTTATGGTCATGTTGTGTTATTGTTATTACTATTATTAATATTAGTAGTAGTAGTAGTTTTATATTTTTATTATTTTTGTTTTTGTATTGAATTGATATTGACATTGACATTCAGCAGACTCATATAGGACAGTGCTTTGAAGCTTTCCACAGAAATGTGTTTTCTACACTTAATACAAAGGTTATCCAGAAAGTAAGTTCTAATGGGCTATTGAAAAGAAACAAAAATTTATTTCCAAACCATTTATATCGCCATTTGATGTACCTACCATAAACTACTTTTGAACATAGTTTCCACCATTGTTGAGGCACTTCTCATAGCCGGGCACTAGTTTTTGTATCCCTGCATCATAGAATGATGCCACCTGTGATGCAAACCAAGAAAAATTTCAAGTACATTTGGTGTGGAAAGGTATTGGTAAAGTTAAGAGCTAGTTAAGGATATAGCATGTTAAATGAAAGAGCCAGAAAACACCCCTTACTTTATGCTAGTTTTCTTCCTCTATGTACTCTTAAGAAATTGATGATTTTTGTCACCAGGGAAGTTCCCTTTATAAGCTGTACTAGTTTTATCGCAGTTATGCTTTACTTTAATTGTAGTGATTTCCTTATACCACATGTCAGAAATACCCATGCAACAGTGCTGTTTGTGATCCATGTTTGTATTGAGGTAAGGTTAAGGTTAACTCAGTGAATCTAGAGATATTTTTTTAAATTGAAGTATCTCAGGAAAGATTGATGTGGAGCAGAAATGTATGTGTGGGCTAAGATTACATGCAGTAGAAATGTAGTTTTCTGTGGAGGACTGAGAACAAATTATACACTGCTTATCAGTGAAGTTAGTGTGGACACTACCAAATTTTCTGAGAAGTAGTGGGTCTGGTACAGGGTCCACTTAGCCTCGTGAGGATAATTGAGGATGGAAATGTAGCGTTTCTGGACTAGAAAACCGAAATTAACGGCCATGGGGATTCGTTGCACTGACCATGCAACACCCACTATCCACTGAAGTTGGCACTGTGAGAAAAGTTTGTTAAATTAAGGATGAATGGAATGGACATGTGCTGTGCATGGATGGTGATGGGATTCATTTGGGATCATTGGGAATTAAGATGTTTAATGAACAAGCACTGGGAGGACCAAAAACAGCGTATGGAAAGGGAAGATATACAAATAGAAGTTGGAAATGGTGGATACATACAAAGGGAGTATGTATCCTTGGAGGATGTTACAGGACAACCCATCCTGATGAGAATACTGGATGGTGATGAAGTTTCTCGTGGACCAAAACTTTTGTTGCTTTGCCTTATTTGCAGAATTTCTTACTGTCATTTTTATTTTAGCAGTGGAAGTTCAACTCCCCGTTTCGATGATCTGCGGAAGACTACACCAAGATACGATGAGTCTGGCCGTGGAACTCCTAGAAGCAGTAGTAGCTTGAGCTCATATGGAGTAGGACATCGTCAGCCTATGAGTGGCCGATTACCATATGGTATCTCAAACAGCAACAAGTCACCCCGCAGTTCTGGCTCAGGTCGAGAAAGTTTGCGGTCTACACCACGCACCAATACAAGTCCCCATTCCATGGTTGAAAGTTCACTCAGTGGAGATGCTACCCCTCTGTACGATGAGAACTGAACATATTGTTACAGTATAAACAGAACAAGATTATTAGTCATATTATGGGTTTTTTGTACTTTTTGAATAATGGAATAAATTATTTTAATTGGTGTTTTCTCTCTATACATACAGAAGACTTTTGATAACGTCATTTTTCTTTAAATTATGGCATATACATATGCATTTGTGTGTTTGCATGTCTCCTTGGATGGATGTGTATCTGTGTGGGCATGCATGTGCGCAAATGTATATATGCAAGATTAAAACCTATGTTAACTGAAAGTCTTGTAAATTATCCAAATGTTCAGAAGTTAGGTCAATTTACTTACAATTCTGAGAATGTGCTTCATCAAACTTCATATTACTACTAGTTTTGAACAAGATCTAGGACTGCTGCTAAAATTTAATCTTAGCTACATACAGTGTACCCTTGATATAGTGTGGGTTTTGGGGGGATGGCATCAGAACCTGTGTTATATGTGAAATTGACATTTAGCATATGTAATTTTATTGGGGGCCATGATCACTGCCGCAGCATAATGAGGGCTTGTATATCAGGGTTCCACTGTATGTTATAGTCATTCCAATTACAGTGGTATTTTAGTGTAATCTGTTGTATAAATGAAGTAGGGCTAGAACTTTGCATTTGTAATTAAAGCAAAGACAGAAGAGTTAGAATTATTTCTTCAGTAGTGTATATTGACAAATCTTCGAACCTTATTATGGAGCTGTTTTTACTCTATTTTCTTCCCAAACAACTTGAATTTCAATCTGGTTTAAAAGTAGTATGCAGAAGTGAGTTGGTAGGTTTAGTACTTCATTTGGCTCAAGTATTTGTTTTTGGTACTTTAAACATAGTTGTGATGAACTGTGTGAAGCACTGATGAATCTTACTGTAAGTATATTACCTTAGAGCTAGTATAAATTATTAATGCTGAAATGGCTCTTGCTGTTCATACCACAAGTTGGTCATACATTTTCTGAAAGTACATCGGAAGAACTACTGAAGGATAAGAGGAAGTGTTTCATTGTTCAGTATACATAATACAATATTTCCCTATACAGGAAGTGTTGAGACTCATTGTATGTGAAGTTATCTACTGAAGCATCATACACACACTTTAATTTTGTATGTGTGGTGTTGGTAAAAATTGTAATGTAAATTATCAGTAGATAGAAGTCGTGAACTGGTCTACTTGCAAATCGTAAGTGATTTTCAGGTGACTTGTGCGTATAAATTTGTGAAGTAAGAGAGAACTTCGACATTTTGCCTGGAAGAGAATTTTTAAGTTTCCAGTGTTCATTGCAGAATAATGGAGTGAAGGAAAATTGAATCACCACCACCATAAAAGATTAGACTTGTTGTTACTAGTCTGTTTTGTATCCAACTGAGATCTCTTAGAATTGGTCTTTCCACCTTTTTGTTGGTCATCCTCTTTCTCATTTTCCTCTTGGAACATATATTGTTTTCAGGATAAGTTTTTAGCAAACCAACCAAAAGACATCTTAGGAGGGAAAATATAAATTATATTACTTTTCCGTCTTTTGATTAACTTCATTGCTGTTATGTGTAAGTATAAAATATTCCATAAGTATCTTTAGTAAACCAGATAGGCTGGTGTTATTACTTCAGGTATGTACAAGATGAACTAAGAACTTATTTACTTTTTGTGGTAACTTCTTGTTTCTTTATGTTATGGGGTTAGAGTCAACTGTTTATAGCTTTTCTTAACCAGACTTGTAAAAAATGCATCCATTTCTCAGAATTCTTCAACATTGGCTGTGGAACATCACTCACACTCTGAAAGGACTGTTCAGAAGTTTTTACACTCTGTTACTTTGGAATATGTTGACATAGATTCACATTTGTATGTTTTATTTGGGTTCTCTACATCAGGACTTCCATTAAAATGGCCTTTAATGCTCATTAACTGACAAGTGGCACATCATCAACAGCAGCATATTTTCGGAACTCCGCGTTAAGGTCAAATTTCTTATAACGTTTCTGAGGCACTCTTATGGATGTCCTCCTTTTAATTGTCCATTTCAACACCTTAATTTGACCCTTCTGAGAAACCTGCTTTACCTGATCGCTGTTATACCAGTCAAATAGCTGAAAGGTGTTGAGGTTCTTGGTGCCAGGATTTATTTTGGTGAGTTGCTGCATCCTCTGAAGAAACCATTCCCAGAAGTGTTATTTCAAGACCTTGATCACACCTTGGGCCATCAGCTACATAAGATATGTCATGTTTGGAATCAAGAACTCTACATGAACACTGTACAGGTGGACAGTGCAGTTATCAGTGAAGTATATTCTTATTCTTAGCTGCAGTTTTTTCATTTATGGTCCTTAGGAATACTTAGAAAATGATGCAAGTCATCCAGTTTGTTTTGTTGTGCCTTTATGTGAATGGGAATTACATGTCCTTGAAGTGATGTGATATGATTTTTGGATTACTAACAGACAGATCCTTACTGCCGTCTTTATTGCCTGTCACCACCTAAGTTACCATCTCCTGTCTTAATTTTCTTCCATGGTATTTTTTTTATCCTTGAAGACACATGTACTTTGGGTAAGAAATTATAGAATAAGTCATGTGTTGATTTGATCAGTGAAATGACTTTATAAAACTACTAGAACACAATGTTCAGATCTTTTGACACTTGCTGTATTTTGTATATGCATACGATGCAGTACAGTGTAACAAAGTGAACTGAATACTGATGACAATGCAGATCAGACAGAAATGAATGGCTTGTGCCATAATCAGTTTTATATGGTCTGCTATTGAATTTTGCATGAAAGTTGTGTACTTGGTCTGTAAGTGATTAACATTGACTACTATTAGTTCTTGCATAAAGGTCTTATGCTTAACCGACTTTTGTTTGTTACGTAAAGGCATCCAGAATTTATATTCTGCTCGTGAAATATAGTCAGTTTGGAAAGTAAATATATATTGAAATGTGTGAAATGGAAATTTACTAAAAAATGGTGTGACAGGATGAACTGCTACAGTAAGAAAACATTACATACAAGAAACTTTTTGTGCAAGAACTTTTAATGTTGTAGTTCTGTAAGCCTTGGGACTAAACTTCAGAAACCAAACTTCTTATCTGGGTAACACTGTAAATGTAAAATATTTTGTGAAATCAGTTGCTTCTCTATTCATGCCAGTTCCTTTCTCATATATAGTTTTCTTTTCCAAATTATAGAAAATACATGTGATTTCCTTCATATATCTTGATTTTTAATTCAGTTAGCTCTTCTGTCCCACTACAGGTCACAAAAATCTCATCTCTTCTTCATCTCTCTCTCTCTCTCCGGCTTATATATATGTAGATACATGTAATTGGAATCCAGAATTCAGACCCATATAGGATCAGGGGCACAGCCATTACTTTGTAGAATTTTAATTTAATTTAATTCAGTATATGTATATAGCCTTTATTCTTGTTGTACATACACCTGCTTAATTTTGTAAATTGGATTTAGTTGCAGAACAGTTAATTGAAAATCTGTT